AAAAAAAAAAAAAAAGCAGAATACTATTTACTATCCTACAAAAGAAAATGAAATACTCAGGTATAACATTGCAAAAACATGCCCAGGGTCTGTATGTGCAAAATTGCTCAACAGTTAAAAAACAAAAGCAACTAGGAAATAGGAAAAAAAACATGGGGAGACATTTTCCTGAAAAAGACTAACAGATGTCAAACAAGCATATATAATAATATGTTCAACATCACTAGCCATTGGAGAAATGCAAATTAAAACCACAATGATATAATTGCATATCTATCAAAATGACTGATTAAAAAAAAAACAATGATAACATTAAATATTGGTGAGACTGCAAAGTAACTGGATCACTCATACATTGCTGGTGGGAATGCAAAATGGTATAGACATTCTGGAAAACAGTTTGACAGTTTCTTCGTAAACTAAACATGAAGCTATCATAGGAACCAGCAATTTTACTCTTGGGAATTTATCTCAGAGAAGTGAATACTCATAGTCACACCAAAAGCCTGTACAACAATCTTTATAGAAGCTTTATGCATAGTAGTGGAAAACTGAAACTATCTAGATGCCTTCAATGGCTGAATGATTGAAAAACCTTTGATATACACATACCATAGAATTTTACTTAGCAATGAAAAGGAACAAACTATTGATACACCCAACCTCAATAAATCTCCAAAGAATGATGCTGAGTGGAAAAAAAAAACACCCTATTCTAAAAGTTTACACACTGAATGATTCTATTTATATTAATATCCTTGGAATGACAAAATTCTACAAGTGCAGAACCGATAAGTATTTGCCAGGGAAGAGGGATGAGGAGGCAGGGAAGGAGAGAGGTGGAATCCCTGTGATGACAATTGTTCTGTATATGGACTCTGTCAATGTCAATATCCAAGTCTGATACTGAACTATAGTTTTGCAACATGGTGCTACTGGGGAAATTAGGTAAAGTATACATGGGCCTCCTTGTATGCCTTAAAACTGCACATGAGTATACTATTATCATTTAAAAAGTTTTTTAAAATGAAATATAGAAAAACACATGCAGACATAAAAAAAAATGTGGCTGGAGGCTTAACTTAGAATCAGAAGATCTAGATTTGTACTCCCCGTGTACCAGTTCTAGGTCTTATGTCAGATTGGTTATCTGTTTGCAAAACTTATTTTCTCTTCATTTTAGGTACACACAAAGACTAGATGTTCCAGTCTTTTCTGCAGTTAAATGTAGTTGTGGGATTAAATTTGACCAATGAAATGTGGGTAAAAGAGATATTCATTACTGGTAGTGGTTGGCCCGTAAAACCTGCAGGTGTCCTGCTCCATTTTCTTTTCTTCTCCAGTGGCTTGCTGCAGAAGCTCCCGGCAACTTTGGAAGTAACATTTTGAAGCATGGGAAAAACATAGAGGAGCCTGTGACCCTGAATCACCGTTTGTAGGACAATTGATGATGAGAATCCGGTTTTGAAATTCACATGAGTGAAAAATAAACCATTTCATTAAGCCACAGAGATTTGGGGCAGCCAGGACATCTTAACTCATATAGTCATTCCTGGCAGCTCTTCAGAAATCAAGCCAACATTTTTTTTTCTGGAACATTCTACTGTCTCTCCTATTTAGATCTGCAGATTCAAGGGGTCACCAATTTCCTTTTATTTGATGAGGCAATATTAGCAATGACTTTGACAGAATCACCCCTTTATGACCCGAAAACCAATATTTAAAAAACTATTTATAATGCCTTCACCTTATTCCCAGAAAAATATAAAGGAGCTGACAAAAATGCATACACTAGACCAAAAGTTTAGAAACAAATTTTTGAAAAGAGGCAATAGTAAGAAACAGAAACAGGAAATTTAAATATCCCCAGAGGTGAAGTAGATACATAAATATATTTCAGAAAGACCTATATGTTTGCAGATCTCATATTTATTTCTAGCAGCTTACATAATTGGGAAATATGATATATTACAAGATTTATTTCATGCATTTACTCAGCTTAATCACATCAAGACTTATTTGCATGCATTTTTTAAACTAGGGTAGGAAGCATGCATGATAGAAGTTGTTCAGGGAAAACATCACTTTCCTGATATTGACACCTGAGGGAATTTTTTCCTATAGGTTCCCTTGAAAGGTCAGTGAATAAGGAAATAAACATTTTCTGTATCGACCTTGCAGCAAACTCTGCCACAAATCAAAGTTAAACTTCAAAACTGAAACATTGAAAGAGAATACTAAGTGTAAATAGACACCCCCTTCTTCTTTCGGCCACATGATGAATGCCCCTTGAGCACACTTTGTTGCATCCTTGTTCAGAATCCAGCCAGCAAAGGGGAAAGCTGCTTGGAAGCTTTTCTCAGAAATCCCCAACAATAACTGAAATATTTTCCAGAGGCATCACTTAATCTATTGAGAAAGAAATATCATAGAAATCTAGATTGTAATTGATTTTCTCAGTGATATCAATGAAAGTGTGGGTAAATTGTTAGCCATTAATGAATTGAAGACTGTCTCAAAAATTCTGCAAATTTTCAGAACAGGAAGCAGACACATACAAAACTGTTCACTGGAAGACATAAATGCAAATTTCCTCTGGGTTTTAGGTAAGAAAGTTGTAAAAAAAAAAAAGAGTAATATAAATTTGATATATGGAATGACTTTAACTATAGAATCATTGAGGAAGATTACTTGAAACTAGTTCATTTTTCCCAGTGTAAATATAAGTACAATCACTTTTTTCAGCAAATTTGAATAACATAAAATTTGACATCATTATCAAATTTGATAGCATAAAAAATTCAACATTTTCTGTGTATAAGGTAAAGAACCTGAGATGCACTTCAATTCCCAGAATAACATATAAAAATGTCGCCCCTTTCGTATCTCTTTTATCCCTGTTTTTAACATTTCTCTCATGAGTTGAGGAATTCTGATCTGTGAAACAAGATACGTTTCATGCCCACAAGGGGGACCCTTTGCACCACGGCAACAGAGTTTACACAGCATGGGTCTTCCTGCTAATACACCATTTGGTTAAATCCATGGTCTGCCATGACATGCCAGAAAGTCAAGTCATATCCCATCTCCTTGGCCTCACCTGTGAATCCAGGCTGACAGACACAAACATAACCTGAGGCTTCATGATAGCTGAAAGAAGAAGGCAGTCCAACGATGTGTCCATATTGTTTCTCTGAGGACAGCTCCACACATTCCCCATCAGACTGGCAGGGGTTACTACTGCATTCGTTGATGTCGATCTCACACTGGACACCTGTGTATCCTGCAGGATAAAAATCCAGAGAACCTGCTAAGTCGAAGGTGTTGAGTTGTAGAGCGTCTGCCTAAAAGGAAGCTGACCACTGTACTGGCATCAATTAACAAGTTGATGCGCCTGCCCTCGAGGAGTTGGTAAGGGGAATCTGGTAAGAGGAGGCTTACATGGAAACAAATACGAGAAGCAATAAAATCACTGAAATAATTTTGACCAACATTTTTTTAAAGATAATTTGATTAATAAGACTTGAAATAAAATGAAATGTCAGGATAACCTGCATTTAACCTGAACATTTTAATGAAAGCCTCCACATTTTCAAATATTCTTCATTTGTGAATTTGCATTAAAAATATTTCAAGAGAATAGCTGAAAAGTCAGCAAATATTCACAAAACCAAACTAAATCCTTCTCTTAAAACTCAAAGTAAAGCCAAATCCTGATTTTCAAACACTCAATGAAGTAGTAAAATAGGTTGTTTTAAATTTGCATGGACTTAGCTGGATGATTTTATTAGGACCAGGAATAAGAACAGTAAAACATAAATGATTTGTCACTTTATAAATAATTAAAATATTAAATATAAATGAAAGTTCCCTACTTGAACTTTTTCATTGCTTTATAGTTGCTTTTAAATATGGGCAACTGTAAGAAATATATACAGTTTTAGGGTATGCATGTTTTAACATATCTGGAACCATATTATCTGCATTCTTTAGCAGCTTGCTTTGTTTACTCCCTTGTACAGTCTACCACGTTAGTAATAAAGATCTAACGCATAATTTTAACTACTGCCAAATATTTCAGAATATGGATGCACCATGGCTTAACCTTTGTCTTACAGTTTAACCTTTGTTTTATATCTATTTTTGCTATTGCAATGTTGCAATGACTATCACTATACATCGCTGCTTGTGTAAGTGCTTGAGTATAAGCGTATAGTTTATGACTAGAGGCACGATTTCTGGGTTATAAGTTACATACGTTGTAAATTTTAATAAAAACTGGCAAACATCTCTAATGTAGTTGCACCATTTGCACATTACCAGCAGTGGATGATTGTGAATGTGGCTCTGAACCCTTGCCAATGTTTGCTATCACTTAATATAAAATTTCTTACCAGTTAGTATCTCACCGTTATTTTGGTTTACATTTTCCCCAGTTACTATTGAGCTTAACATTTTGGGGATTTTTTTTTTTTTACCATTTCATATGTTTTCCTGTTTTTTCATTAGACTGTTTTTCATATTGATTTATAAGAGTATTTATATACTGTGTACAGTGCTAGCTCCAAAATATAAATTTAGTAGGATGCAAATGTAACACCGATGGTCAATAGGATAACATTAACTGTTTTGCAACATGGTAAGAGATATGTATAAAGGTTTTGTTTGTTTGTTTGTTTTTTATATATATTTTTGAGATGTAGTCTCACTCTGTTGCCCAGGTTGGAGAGCAGTGGTGTGATCTCGACTCACTGTAACCTCTGCCTGCCAGGTTCAAGCAATTCTCCTGCCTCAGCCTCCCAAGTAGTTGGGATTACAGGTGTGTACCACCATGCTCGGCTAATTTTTGCATGTTCAGTAGAGACAGGGTTTCACAATGTTGGTCCAACTGGTCTCGAACTCCTGACTTCAGGTGATCTACCTGCCTCAGCCTCCTAATGTGCTGGAATTACAGGCATGAGCCACCGCACCCAACCTGAAGATTTTACGAAACATAATTCAACTTCACAGTCACCTAAGGGCCTTTGCAATATCATTTAACTCTGCTGAGAAATGTTCTGGAAACAAAATTTACAGTTGAGAGTTATAAAACTTGTAAACTAAATCACAGTATATCTTTACTTTAAAAGCATTCAACAGCTTCCCCTTTCACATAGAATGGAAATCAAAATCTTTAACAGGACCTCAAAAACCCCCTGCGTTCTCACAGCCTTCATGATGTTCTCTCTTCTAGAAAACTCTCCTTCAAGTGTTTTCTTGGCTAACTCTTAGTTTTCAGACTTTATCTTGTATTACTTTCTCAGAATAACTTTCCATCATGGACAGATATAAATAAAATCCCCTTATTTTCTCTCATGCCACCCAATTATTTTCTTTCATTGCTCTTATTGTAATTTTTAATTATGTATTTATTTGTGTATATGGTTTCCTCCCTCAGCAGGCTGTATGCTTCACAAAACAGAGACTGTGTTTATCTTATTTACCACTCCAGTACTGAGCAATATGTAAGTGATAGCCCTTCATTCAATAGTGCTAATCAAGGATTGAAAATAACAATTTAGATTCTAATCCTAGTTTAGCACATAAACCAGGGAATTGACTATTAATAAGCAAATAATAAGATTATAATGTGATTGCTCATTTTTATATTAATAATTTAAATAACTAAATGAGATCATATGTTAAATCATAACCACAACATAAATTCTGCAGCTCAACAGTGTAATATATTTGTTACATATGACCCTTGGGGCCTTTCTCAACCGTCTGAAGAAGAAACTAGAATGAAAGAGTTTAAAAAAAAAAAAAAAAGGGAACTAAAAGAACATGAAGAACATGTCAGATCAAGACCCAAGAATTCTTTAGAGTGACCCCCCCCACAAAGATCACTCAGAGTCTCTTAAACTTGGATGTCTACTTTTTGAATACTATTATTTCATACCTAAGATTCTTCAAATACATTAAATAATAGTTTTTACAATAAGATTTTATTAACTGATATTTGTTATGCTACAGTGGCCTTACTAAAGAAAGGCTGAACTATTTTCAATTTTCTTCTCATTCCCAGACTCGAGACACACATAAGCCAGGTTAGGGAGGAATTTAGAACCGTCATAAATCCTTTTTTGCTTTTCCGGCTCATATATTATCTCGTTCCAGTCGTGAACATTTGGAAGGTCCTGATTTATAGTCTTGCCAGTCCTGTACCCACCACTGAGGCCCTGTGGGGATTTTATTTGCTGCTCTCTTTAACCATGTATATAAATAGACTCCTTCAGTCAAGGCTATATTCAATAGTTTTAACAAGTTTTTCTATAAAACTCTGTACAAAGAAAAAATATGATACGGAGTCACATCCCCAGGCTTCTTTCTTATATTATGCTTGTTTGTTAACAATTCCAACCACATCTGGGTATCAGGAAATCTTTTAAGGTAAGCATTTAAGGTGACTGGCATTTCTTGTAATTATTAATTACTTCTGAAATGAGGACCCTAGTCAATTATAGGAGTGGATTCTCGCCATTGTTCTGTGGTAGTGGGGTCATGATCTGAAGAAATGGTCTCCTTTTCTTAGATATAGACTACTTTGTAGCGTTAACTTTTATCTTTGTATACAACAGCAAGATAGGTTACAAAGGTATTCAGGATGTTCTATCTAGGCAAAATTACCATCCATGCGTAACCCAGGGCAGAAACCCAGAGGCAGAACTGTCCTAAGCCTGTGCCCTTTTCTCACTGCCCACGTGAGTTTCACCTCCCACGTGACTCTCAGGACTACGCACCCCACACCCCACTCCGACCACTGTTGTCTTAGTTCTAGCAAACAGTCTCATCTCCTCAAACTACAGAAGAATCTTCTCACTAGATTTCCCTGCCTTTAGTTTTATTTTCTTCTCACATCTGCCACAAAGCCAGGGAGCTCTTCTGAAATTAACAAAGCAGATTTTGTTACTTCTCTGCCCCATAGTTGGCAGGGCTTTGTGATATGGCTTCAGTTCTGCTCCCCAGTTCCATCTCTCTACCTCCAGCCCTACACAGTCCAGCATTTTTACAATCACTCACAGTTCCACAATTAGACATGCTCTTTCTTTTCTTC